GTTTACTTTTGTGACAAAAATGATGAATCATCAAGTGTGACAATACTTATGAAAAAGGCAGTAAATAATGTAAAAATATATGAGATTAATTATATATATATTGTAAGAGAGGTCAAATACACTAGAACCTTAGTGTTGTAACTCAATCTATTCTGTACTAAAAAAATATCTACTACTTCTACTCAAGATTTAAAAATCTAAGAAAGGGACTAAAAATAAGAATAATGTCTAGAGACTATACTGATAAGTTTCTGAGCAATTTTATACAGAATTGAAGTTACAGTAAGTGTACTTCTGAGTAGTATCTATAGATCATATGTTCTGTACTCTTACTTCAAAGTAGATAACTAATGTATTCTTGTATAAATTTTCTCTTTATTTCCCTGCAAAAACATTCTCTACCATAGGAAGGCACTGACTTAGATTAATGGAGATTATCTTATTCTATAGACTTAGTACTGGGTGAATGTATAACTTGATACACTATGTAACTGGCACATACATTGTGTACACTTTTTTTTTGCATACACATGAACCTAAGTTTGCTGGCACCCTATGGCAAGGGGAAAGGTTCTCTCTAATGATGCATGCAAAATTATCATCACACTCCATCTAACTGAATCTTTCTCTGTGTTTCAACTAGCTTGTCTGGCAGGTGTTCAAGAATGGACAATCCAACACCTACTGAAGCAATGGAGGGAAACTGGTAGAGTTGAATGAGACATCCTATACAACCAGGGCCAACCAAGAATACTGGATTATAGAGATACTGAGGTGAGCATCATTCTACTGGATTCCTTTCTTCATTTCTTGGCATCCTTTTTGTTTCTTTTCACCTCATGGGAACTTTGGTATCAGTACCTTCTTAGTCCAGTAGACCAGCAATGCAACCTATTTTTATTGGAATTGAGAGATGAACTTTGCAATGCATGCGGGAAAGAAGTATCAGATACTACAGTATGGAGGGCACTGTGTTGGGTAGGATTTACAATGAAGAGGGTAAGCATCGGTACTCGAATGGCAAAGGCAAAGGCAAAGAAAAAGAAAAAGACCTCCCCATAGATCTCGAAAAGGGCAGCTGAACACAGTGAGCTGGAACGTATCAAATATCGGCTTGAGATGGGCAAAGTCTGTAGGAACAAAAGATTCTTGAAGCGGCTCGTTTTCATCGACGAGAGTGCTTGTGACCGTCGTACATATCTGCGCAAGAAAGCCTGGGCATTGCGAAATCGTCAGGCCACCCGCAAACAAGTTTTCGCCCGTGGAAAACAGTAACATCACTCTGTACTTGCCTTTGAAAGTGCTAATTCTTCTTCTTGTAGGTACTCTGTTCTCCCTGCAATGACGCTGAACGGTATGCTTGAATGTTCGATCGTCGAAGGTGCCTTCAATGCAGCATCATTTCTTGAATTCATTGAGAGGGTTGTAAACCGTGCAGAGCGTGGCTCTATTTTGGTCATGGATAACTGCTCAATCCATAAGTCTCAGGAAGTGAGGGACCTTGTTGAATCAAGGTGTGATTTACTTACCTGACCTCCTATCTATTCCACATCTCCTAAACGTGAATCATATCATTATAGAGGCATGCAATTGAAGTTTTTGCCAGCATACTCACCGGATTTCAATCCAATAGAGCTGGGTTTCTCGCTTTTGAAGAGGCGCCTCCAACATCTCAGATTCGGAGGGGGCGTAGAGTCTGTGCTTCAACAATTGTACGGGGAGGTTATGTCAATTAGTGCAGAACATTGCCATAACTTTTTCCGGCATTGCGGATACATTCGCTGGTGGGTTGTCCATTCACTTCATTCGAAACATCTCTGACAAAAAGACAGATGCATCAGAACTTATAGGAGGCAAAATAGGTCGCAACGTACCCTTGGTTCCTATTGTATCGCTGTCGCCATTTGTGCGAATAAAACGTGTATGTGATGTTATGCGGATGACGACCAAAGCACTGCAACAAGAATTGATGCTAACACGCGTGAAAACATCTGTCATTTTCGCATCGATTTCATCCCTTCTCCCATTCATCGTTCGGGTCCGGGACTCCTGAAAGAATCGTGCATTCGCTCTCCTCCTCATAGCATTGCGAACATGCTTCAACAGCGAACGGTCATATTCCATGTTTTACGAGCTGTGAACGCATCCGCACTTCATTCTATTCGGGTATGTTCGTGCATATCGTGCGGTAGTAGGTCTAGATGCCATTATCAATATTCGAGCCGTAAGCACATCCGCACCTTATTCTATAAAGATATATCCCAGCCAGTGTATTCGCGCGTGTCGTGTGGTAGTAGATCTACATATCATTGTACGCATTCGAATTCCCCGGAGCAGCATTTGCAACGTAGACAAGATGCAACTGAGTTATGTGGCTGGTTTAGAAAGCCAGATGATGGTTCGAAGAAGAAAGGGGTGTGGCCGCAGCACGAACAAAGACGATTTATGATGTTTTCGGCCGGCTAATACCGGTTCAAAAATACATTTCATTCGCGCGAATATTATTTACAAGGGTACGGCGAATACATAACTGCACGAGAAACATGATAGCATAACGATTGTCCAACACGGAATGTCCGACCTTCACTTCTGGTCATCTCAGTTTCCACGGCTGCTGCCCGCTGCTGGCTGCAGCGTGTCCGTATCTTTCACTTTCATTTTCCCTTTCCCTTTCCCTTTCCCTCTCCCCCCCTTCCCACTGCCACTGCCACTCCCCCTGCCTCTGCCCCCACTCTTCCCTTTATCCGTTCTCCGTCTCTTCTGAATGGGGTTCCCGTATACGTCACAAGAGGAAAAATCTCTCGTAAGAACCCCGTGCAGTTGCACCAATTTGACGGAAATCAAGTCTGCTTCGTGTGGTGGAAAGTAACGCTTCAAAGTCGTTGTATTATCCAGAGCCTTCAGCCAACGTGCCGGCATGGGGGGATCCATCCTGACGTACGAAGGATGAGCCGCTTCAGACCATAAATCCCTCAAACGCCAACTCTCCACAATGATGTGTTGGAATAAGTCGTAATCCTTCAGAATTTGATATGCGCGGATTGCGTCGGTAGCCCTCACGAGTAAATCCCTCGCTTCCACCTGCTTGATCTTCGCAGTATATTGATCTTGCGTCTCTTGACCAGCCGCAACAGGCGAAGTTGACATCAGCGAAGCTGGAGAGCCTGGTGTGCCTGGGGAAGTTGAAGAACCCAGCTGAGACGACCCTGCCGTACCTTGCGCTTCGATGTTTTCGAAAGGAGTAGATGCCGACCTCGGGCTCGTAGATTCGGACTCCTGACGTCTCAACATCTGAAGACCTGAGGTGACAGCCTGACGCAGGCTCCTTGGCGTTGACGGCTCCTCTTGCAAAGGGTACTGGTCGAGTATCTCGTCTGCTTGCCTACGAAGATCGCCGATATACATCGGCATGGTGTTCTTCCAGCGCTGGATGGTATCCCAGGTAATCGTCTTGTGCTGCCTAGTCATCATTTCTCCGCTCGCTGGGGACCTGTATGAGATTTCAACGGTATGTCCATCGGCAATCTTCCTCCAGAACGTGGCCCAATCAACTTTGCCATCGCGTTCGGACACGAAAGGGTTCGGGGGGCGGGGAGGAACTTGAGGAGCGATCTCTGCCTGTTGTGGCGCGGGAGGTGGCTGATTGTATGGTGCAGATGACTGTCTGAACAATACGGGTGGCTGATCTAATGTTGCGAATATTGGACCGAATGGTGAAGGTGGCGGCTGAATGTACGTAGCACCGCTAGGAACTTGGTAAGCTTGCACCGGAGCCTGCTGTTGATACGTTTGATATCCAGGGACCGGCGCTTGCTGACTAGGCGCTTGGAAAGTGAAGGTTCCAGATGGCACAGGCGTAGTAAGTCCTGGAATTGGCACTTGACCGTAAGGTACGTTGGGTGCAGTGCCTTGGGCTCGGTTCCCGCTAGTCGTGGTGCCGTGATTGTAAGCGTCCAGAAAATGGACCATGCCCTTGTAAAACGCTTGACGGCCTAGGTCGGCAGTCCGTCGACGTATTATATCCTCATAATTTTCGGCATTCTATGTAATACGTCGTATAATCAGCATAAAATCGCATGATAATTAGAGAAAAAAATGGGACGCTTACCTTCTCAGTAATCGCACGTTCCAATTTTTCAATACGGGAACCCGTTTCAGCGCGAACTTCCGCAACTTGTGTGCCAACGTCTTGCACTTGCTGTCCGACGTTTTGCAGTCTTCCACGAACGTCTTGAACGTCTTGACCCATTTTGTTCTCGAAGGTCTTGAGCTTCCATTCCATGCTGTTGATTCGACGGTCCGTTGATTCTTGAAACGTCTCCATTTCATCCCGCAGCTGTTTCACGGTCGCTTTTCGAGCCAGTGCGATTGAACGCATCCTTTCTGCATACTGCTTGCGTTCTGCAATCCTCTCTTCTGACTCTTGCATGAGTACGCCGTATTTGATATCATCTTCAGCAGATTCAACAAGCTTTTTCACGTGTTTGCCTTGAGGAGCTGCAAGTGTCGGTGGGGATGAAAACTCGGAAGCGTTAGAAGACGAATCGCTGGACTGACTATCGGAAGAAAGGCTGTAGTCGGATCCGGGAGACCATCCTCCAGCCTCGTTCACGTCTATATAACGATCAAACTTCGTCGAGCGGGAGTTGCTTAGTAAGTCACTCACCTTGCTCGGGTTCAAGGTCATGCGAGATTCTGGGAATAGGCATGGCTGGGGACCCTGACTGCTGCAGAGAGGGTGATCGTACGCGGGGGAAAGGACTTCCGGGAGTGGGAGCATGCTGGGCCATAGCAGACGCGGGAGATGATGGTGGTTCGAATACAAAGCGAGACGACGTGGCCCACGAGAAACGCTCTCGGACTAGATCGGAGATTTAGGTTTGAACGTCCATATCAGGATGCCTCCGAATCTCGCTCCTTCATCGTGTTCGCAACCATTGTAGCTTGAACTCAGGCTCTGCAATCCACACTCAACGTGATTCAATGACCTTTGGATTGCTTAGCGAGTGCTGTAAGCTTGGCCTGCCTATTCGCTTACAAAATGCATTTCAAATTAAAAAAAGCTTAGTTACATTCGTTTATTCTTTTCTTTATCCTTGCTCAGCATTTATTCAGACGACCGGAATGCCCTATCCATGGGCTGTGAAGAAGTCTGCAAAGCTCGTTGCCACCGAAGAAGCAGAGGCTGTCAGGAAGGCCTCCCAAAACCTCAAACAGCCTCGTGGCCGACCTTACAAGGATGAGCCTGATATTCTGGCAGTGGCAAAGCAAACACCACTGCAAAATCCAGCAAAATCTGGCCAAGGAAGAACCATGGACATACCTGCACCCATGTGTCAACACACAGCATGTTCCAAAGCAAAGAAGGTGAGGTTTGAGAACATTATCTAAGTTTCGCCCTAGCCCTGTTTATCATAATATTGTTCCCATCGAATATAGAAGAAACCTTGCTGTAGTAGTAACGATCGCAAGAACGATGCAAGTAGTAATAGTGAACTCAACAATAAGGATGGACCTGCAGACGTCTCTGTTTTCGACATTACACAAACTCTGAAAAGCAATGGTGTTGACTAGGACTCTGAAGTTTGTAACGAATCAGACAGAAAAAGCACTAGTTTATGTGAGCTCCCTGCTTCACTTACAAATCATCATTATGAAGGCAACAACAAGGTCAACTTTGACCTGAGTAGTACATCACTTTCCCACACACACAATCAAGACTTGTATTAACATTTTACTCTAGAGGACAATGGTTTATACTTGTTGTTGTTTGAGAGGGCAAAAGCATATGGATTGCTGACATCCACCCTGAAAGTACAGGACAACACTATTGAAATTACAGTTAAGGTCTTGGATGGAGTTGGTATACACAACATACTCATCAATTCAACCATAACACTTTCTGATCTATTGTATAAGGTAACTGAAATTACTAGAGGAATGTGTGTAATCTAGTTGCTTGGGTATGAAGCACTATAGTGTAAGAAGGTTGGCTCTAAGGTAGAATCACACTATCTGGACAGTCAGAAGGCTTTAGATGATCTCTTTACATTTGTCAATAAGTTTTACAAGGGTAACAAAAGTAAGAAAAAGGTTGAGGATCCTGAAATCATTATCTGTAACCTTGAGAATACAGTGAGTCTTACATACAACCCTCCTTTCCTATGTCTTATTACTATACAGGCCTCTGTAAAGCATTCTAACAGTTGAAAGAAGCTTCAGTCAAAGGTTCCTACAACAGTAATGGACAATGTAAGAGAACAGTATAAGGCAAAACTCTAGAAGATTACAGGTCAAATCATTACAAACTTCAAGTGTGACAAACACAATAGTACTTTGTGTACTAGAATTAAGGGCAAACACAATTACATTCCTTATACTCACTCTGATGTTAATGAACTGTTAGGAGAGATGTGTTCTCTAGGTTGATAGTACTCTCAAACTGTGAATGTAACTTGTAGCCCTTAAACTAACTATATTCTCAAAGCTACTAGTTAGGATTTATACTAGGAGAACAAGTAGGAATACAAGAAGAGTTAAAAAACTAAGGAACTACTGTATTTACAGACTACTTTTTATAATTACTAAATAATAAGAGTAAAGTAAGGAATGAAACTTGAGAATAAGATTAAAGAAATAATAAAGACAAATATTACAAAGCCAACAGGCATATTAGAGGCTAGGAAGAATTAATAGAGTGTTATACATTAGAGAATATAGACTAAGAGGCTATTATACAAGAAAGGCACAAGTTACTATATTGGGCAAGTAATAGATTGGCTGTATTATAATTGTATACACTACCTCACATCTCTATAGCTCTCTCCTGTGTTTAATACTAAGACAATCTCTATAAAACTTTGTGAAACAATAGATAAAATGTTAAGAATTATAAAAATCTAGTTACAATGTTGATTTTTTACAAAACTGACAGAGATATAAAGAAAATAAAATAGGTCTAATCCTACAATCCTAACATTACCTCCCTTCTTAGGTTGTATGTTCTAGACAACTGAATCTAAAGGCTTTTTTGTTTAAGTAAAGTGTTAAAGTCTCTAAAGGTCCCTTTTAGAATGTTTAGTCATCTTAGAACACTAGGATAGACTTTATAGAAATCCCTAACAGTATTCTGAGTATGAGTAAGGTTATTTTCAGGTTACTAAGTTGCTTCCTAGTATTCTACCCATTTAACAAGGAACTGAAGCTTTCCCTTATAGAGTCAAAAGTTAAGGATAGTCTCAACTTTGTATTTGATCTTATTATTTACAAGTTCAGAGGGAGGAGAGGGAGGAGCCTTCTAAATCTTAAAGACTTGAGAAACATATAGTTTGAGTAGAAACTCATTAAATACTGAGTAAATTAACTATTCCTAAGATAGTTTGAGCCTATATATACTAGCTCTAACTTTTGAGTCAACCTTAAAGGGACTAAACCACTTGTCATCAAACTTTTTAGTAAGTCTAGTAGTCTTTATGTTCCTTGAGTCTAAACACACTATATTTTCTAGCTTGTACTGTATAAAGGGGTCTAAATAACAATTATAGTACTTTTTTATAGTTTTAGTAGCTTGGTTCAGGCTTTTCTTTACAAGTTCCTGAACCTCTTTAATATACTTAGTCTATTGTTTAACAGAATATGTACTAGTCTCAGTTAAAACTGATTCAAAGTCTACAGAGTGTCTTCTAAAGTTAATATAGAATAGAGAGAACTTTATAGTAAAGTGTTCTTAATTGTTATATACAAACTCAGCTATAAAAATCTATTCTGCCTAGTCTAACTATTTATAGTTAACATACAAGTAGAGATACTATTCTATCTCTTAATTAATATACTCAGTTTAACTATTAGTTTAAGGATAATATACTGTAGAGGGATTCTCTTTAATATAAAGAGCTTTATAAAGTTCTCTTATGTTCTCTTATAAATTTAGTATTAAATTATAGTCCTCTATTATGTATAATCTTTCTAAGTAATTTATAGAGTTTAAAGACTTGATCTCTGTACAGTCTAACTATTCTCTTAGCTGTAACCTTTGTAGTAGTTAGAAGAGTATATATTTGCTTAGAGAAACAATTTACAATAATACAAATAGTGTTAAATCCTTTAGACTCAGACAATTTACTAATTAAATTAACAAATATTACTTACTAAGGTCTAACAGGTGTATTATGAGAATGTAATGTCTTTTGTTTTATAGTGTATAGGGATTTTGTTCTTTAGTATTTATTATAGTCTTAAACATACTTCTTAGTATCTGTTCTTATTTATAACTACTAGAACTCTCTCTAAATCATTTTAAGCATCTTCTTATACTCTAAATGTTCTACAAGTAGAGAATCATAATATTCCTTCAGAACTATTAGTACAAGATCTAATAGAACTGTTAACATTTATTTCAGATAAATGCATCATATGTCTCAAATCATGCAAACGTCTCACAAATATACGCTATTGCTGAGACATGTCTTCCGAGACATACATCTGAGACATACAATATTAGATAGCATATATATTACTTTAATCTAAGGACAATGAAGCTCATTAAGAACTTATGCACAGTCGACTCGTATTGACACCTACACACTATGAGCAGAGTCTACTGAACCCCTACTAGTGTGACTTACTCTTAGTATCCTTGTGAGCAGCACACAAACCTATGGAAGAATATTTCCTATCAATTAGGAAACATTGCAACCTCAACACACTAACAGGTTATGAGCCTTGTGCTCCCTGCTCATATCTACATTGTTACTATGCTTTTACCTTACCCTCTACAAACACAACGCTTCGAAATCATCATCTCTGCAATTATGATTTCCCCCTCAGTGGTTATATGTATGACTATATGCACCACAATTGTCATCTTGAATGCTTCAGTGTACTATACACCATAGTACAAATGATTTGATACACTCAATCATATTATACTTGATAAGTATCATCAAACTACTCCATTTAACACTGAATCCACTTGATTCTACACGTACGATCCATTCTAATCGTCTACAAACCTTTGGTGCTCTCATCTGAGCATACTAAATGTGAATTGTCTTGTCTGGAAGACTACGATTGCTTTATACAACAAGATATGATACAATACTCGTAACTGGAACGTATTATCTACGTGGACCTAGACACACCTGTCTAAGCATCCCAAACACACATTGATTTATTAAACTAACGAGACATGTATTGGATACACAATACAAGACATATATTGGATACAGACAATGTATTGGATGTCTAAGACATACAGACGGATGAACTAGTTGCTTTAAATGCAATGAGTACTCAATAATACTATATCCAAATGCTGAATTACTTCATCTTACACTACAAAGATACATTATAATAATAACATCTCACATAACAAACAAACATTTGATAGTATATCAATAATATAAATGATTAATACTATAAACAAAAGAACAATGCTAGCAAAGCATAATAACAATATAAAGAAATATATTGTGAACGTATAATCAATCTAATAATGATTAGGCAAACGAATAAAACGAAAACAAGAGTATAAATGCTACTAAAGCATAATAACTCGAATATAAAAACAATTTATACTATCACAAATGAACAATCACAATAAATAACATATATTTACGAAATACAAACATATCACATAGATAAACGAATATACAAACATACAAAGTAATAATAATGCATTCGAATGTATAAAACTATTAATTGTTGAATAACACAATGTTGTATGCAAAATACAATCAAACGAACACATAATAACACATAAAACAAGTAATAAAACATACAAAACAATGTTGCAAACAGTCTAAACATATAATAACAAACATATATACTTATACAAAGTATTACATTAAATTAAAACATAATGCTACAAACAAAGAAACAATATAATGATGCATATATGCATAATATTGACATTATAAACTATACAGACAAATACATATCTTATACCTTGCACAATTACTATTACAATGCGAAAATCGAACGAACAATAGTTACAAATACATTGTAGCAATATAATGTATCAATATGACATACATGATAACAAAGTATTAAGTCAATACAATTAATACAAACAGTTTAAACAATATAAACATATTTCAGACACATCAAAAATATCATTAACATACAAAATGTTATAAACAATTAAACGTCACTTAAAAACTTGACAAAATACAATAATACAGACGCAAAACAAAATAACTAATGCCTCGAAAACATTAGAGCCTAACATTGGATAGTCTGAAGGGCCAAGCGACAGAAAGAACACTGCCACCAAGTACACAAAAGACGAACGAACGTCAGAACGAAATCCAAAAGAAACAAACATAAGTTCAGAACTTGATCAGACACTTTACTAATGATTAAACACAATGTGTGATGGATTTAATCGATTACTACAAATGGCAGAAAGATATTTATTCACAAAGAATATATCTATGATCAATACATAACAAATATCATTAACTATTCGAAGTCCAAACAATGTCATAACAGTGTATTCTTCATTAACAGCCTTGCTTGAAGCTTGTGCCCATCACAAAAGAATTAAATTAATAAACGGAACGGAAACAAGATGCAATAGCTTGAATACTTTTGTCATCAAACGGAAGACAAATGATACTGAGTGAAACTAAATAATGCACTACTCAATGTATGCAAATATAACGAACAAAATACACAAACTTAACATTGCTAAACAATACAATGGATTATATTTATCCAAATAACAAACTATTCAGACGTACGCATAACAATCAAACGAAATACACGAGCATACACACAATCTATTTGAGTATAAACTCGAATAACAAAAAGTACAAATGCCATAAAGAATTAATAACAAGATCAGACAAAAATAACAAATAACATCAAAGTTATTAAACAAAACACATTCACACATTAATACACAATGCTTAAACGAATGATTAAATGACGAAAACACATGAACGAATTAATTACACACACACAAAAGCCAATTGCTCAAAGCAAACCTTCTCAAATTGAAGGGGAGTAATAGCATATATTCACAAACATAAAATTCACAAAACATAAAACATAACGAATAATAGAAACATAGCAAACGATTAAATGATGCAGAAATATTGACTACATCACTATTTAACCTTGCACATCCCACAAAACATAATTACAAAGTTATTGCAACAAATAAGAAGCAAATCCATTGAATTCAATAATGAAATACCTATACAAGA